GTTTTGCTCGTCCTCTTCCGGAGGCGGCGGCGGCGGAATGGCGCGCGAAGTCGGAGGAGGGCGCGCGGAGCCACGCGGTGGAGGCGGTGGTGGGCTCTCCTCTTCCTCTTCCTCCTCCTCCTTCTCAATCGGCGCGGGCGGTGGCGGCGGAATCGCACGATAAGCACGGGGCGGGGGCGGGGGCGGGGGCGGAGCCACTTCCTCTTCCTCTTCCTCTTCCTCCTGATCTTCTTCCATAGGCGGGGGTGGAGGCGGAATCGCACGCACAGTCGGCGGGGGACGCGCTTGGACACGTGGCGGCGGGGGCGGGGGCGTCTCTTCCTCCTCTTCCTGCTGCTTTTGCCCCTCCTCCTCCTCTAACTCATACGCGCTCTCCAGCTCCTCCTCGCTCTCATTTAACATGGGCACGACGGGCGGAGGCGGGGGCGGGATGGAGCGCCGGCGGTCCGGCGGCGGCGGCGGCGGCGGCGCGTCGTCCTCCCTGCCCCGCCCCGCTCCACCATCGCGCCGCTGCACGCCATCATCATACGCCTCCGGCTCCTCATTAACCACCCCACCCTCCTCGGGAATCCCCGCGCTCCGACTTGCCGGCGTATCTATCAAAACAGCGCATCAATAACGGAATGATCATTTTTTCACACACGAGTAAGAGAAAAAAGAGAACCACGCAACAGGAATAGCGTCCACCACCCAAATATCCGCCCATCCCACCCACCCCAAACCAGAGAGAGAGAAAAAAAAAGGGTCAATCACCAATAGTCGCTGTGCCGTCCCCGCCCGCCGAGTACGAATCCTGGCTCCCCCGCTTGCCGATAGACTGCGCGCTGTCCTTGCGCGCAGACCCGCTGTCCTTTCGCGCAGAAGCGCTGTCCGTCGCATACGAGTCCCCGCTCCCCCGCTTGCCCCCCGACTGCCCACTCTCCCTCCTCACCGCACCCGGCCGGGGCACCGGTGCACCGCCAAACGGATTGAACCCCCCCATCTTCGCCATACGCTCCGCAACGCGCCTGCGCCGCGCCTCGTCCGTCTCCTCCTCCTCTTCCGGCTGCTGCTGTTGCCCCTCGTGCTGCGGTTGGTGTGTTTCCTCTTCCTGCGCTTCCTGTTCTTGCACGTCGCGTTGCTGTTGGTGCGTGTCCTGTTCGTGCGCTACCGCAGTGGGAGGTGCCGCGAACGCAGTCGGCGGCGACGTCGGCGGCGACGCGGCAGTATACGCCGGACGCGCTCCAAGCGGATTAACGCCTCCCATGCGCGCCATACGCTCCGCAACGCGCTTCCGCCTTGCCGCCTCCTCCTCCGCGTCTTCCTCTTCGTCTGCTACCTGAGGCTGGGCAACCGCGCTATCTGCCTGGGGCTCGGCAAGCGCACCGCTCCTCCCCCCCTCTTCCCCTTCCTTCCCCTCGTCCCTCTCTCGCTCCTGCTCCGTCAGTGCGTCCTCCGCCGGCTCCCCTTGCTCAAACTCCTCCCTCACTTCCTCCTCGTGTTTCACCTCCAACATCTCCCCCGCCCTCCGCTCCACGTCTAAATCCACAACAGCCGCCTCCCGGTCCCCCGCCCCGCCAACGACCGCCGCCACCCTCTCGCCGTCCTCCTCCCGTCCCTCCCCTGCCTCCTCTTGATCTTCCTGCTGCTCTGGCTGCGCCTGCGCTTCCTCAACCAGCGCCTCCGTAGACGCAGGCGCAGACCCAAGCACCATCGCCACCGCAACAGGCTGCGTGAATGCGGCCGGTTCGGGCGTGTCGATCGTCTTCGGCGCAGGCGCATCGTCATCGTCAGCTGTCGCCGGTGCGGGCGCATCGTCCGCGTGGTGCAGCGCCTGCGTGTCGATCGCTTTCGGCGCAGGAGCATCATCAGTATCGACTGCTGCCGGTGCGGGCGCGTCATCCACGCGCTGGTGCTGCCCCTGCTCCTCCACATCCTCGCGGTCTAATTCCGGGGCATCATGGTGAGCCTCCTCAACGGGCTCCCCTGGCGTCGCGAACACCTCTCCCTCATGCTCGACGCTTTCCCCCGCCTGCGGTACGTGCGTCTCTGGCGTCGGCACCAAGTCGTCCCCACCAGCAACAACATCCGCCCCGCCCTTCGTCTCCTTCACATCCTCCTCCGCACCCCCCTCTGCAGCCCTCACAGGCGGCATCGGCGACACCGCGCGCTTCTTCCGCGGCGGCGCCGCGCGGCGCGGGGCCGCGGGGACGGGCATGGCCGTCGGGGGGCCCGCGCGTGCGGGCGGGGTCGGTGTGAGTGCGGCTGCGGGCGGCGAGGACGCGGGGGCCGCGGTCGTGGTTGGTGCTACTATGGGCGAGGTAGGCACTGCGAACGAGGGCGTGGTCGTCAGCACGGTGAAAAGAAACGAAAGTAGAGAAAGAAAAAAAGAAAGCGGAAACGACGTGGGAGGAGGGGAGGGAGAAAGGATGGTAACAAGTGATTGGGGATTCAAAATGTTATTTACAAGTAATTAGGGATTTAAATGTCGATAAGAGAGCGAGGGATACGCGCACCACTACCCATCCAAAAGTGTCCACGAACAGAATAGGTGGGGATAAGACAGGATATGCAATATGCAACACGGCGCAACCCAACGAAACGCAATACACAAACTCGAATAACAGAAGGCTGGGTATCGGCACGGAACAGAATAAAAAAGGCGACGAGCCTCCCGCACCATCAACGCAGAAAAAGGAGCCCCTCCCTCAAAAAAAAACAGGAATGGGATGCACCAACAAAAAAAAGAAAAATGCATGAAAGGAACAAAGCAAGAAACAAACAACACGCACCGCCTTCTGCTGCCCGCGCTTCCTTCTGCTGCAGCGGGTGCATCGACCTTGGGCGCGTCGGGTGCTTCGGCTTCCGGTGCGGCGGCGCTGGTCGCAGGCTCTTCGGGCTTGACGGGAGCTTCGTCCTCGTCCGCTTTCTCCGCCTCGGCTGTAGCGGGGACTGGTCCTGCATGAGGGAAAACGGTGTCAGCAACGGCATCAATCAGAAGGAAAAAGGGAGGGGAGACGGTGCGAAAATGAAAATAACAGGAAGCGAAATAAATAAAATAAACAAGAGCGAAATGAGAATAAATAAAGAAAAGACCGAAAAAGAGGTAGGAACCAAAATACACAGATAATGTATAGGCGAGAAGAAGTAACAGCAGGGCAGCATGTCCTGTGCGTTGAGACCGTGCACCCTGGCTGTACGCCGATACCCGCCGCACCCCCCGTGCCCATGCGTCCCCATTGTGTGCATACATACTCTAGCGTAGCACAAAAGGGGGTAGGAGGTGGAAACAGATGCAGAAGGGAAGGAAGACAACGCGCAGTGGCGGCATCATCGATGGTCTTATGGCTGCATGCCCACGCACGCGGATAACCATGTCTCGAAAAGGTGTAGCGGGGCGGGGACGTCGGGCCGGCGAAGTGCCCAGACAAACAAACGACCGGTGGAGCTGTAGACGCGCCGACCCGACCGCACGAACGGCGCCGGCGCGTACTTGCGCACGTAGGCCAGCCCACGACACAGGGCAGCGCACGACGCGTGTGCTGACCGGGGGCGCGCCACAAGGCACATGCGATTCCACACGCCAGAGAAGCCACACAGAATAGCGCACAACACATCGCGTGGGGGTGCACCAGACCCCACCCCGTTGAAGAAAAGGACGCCACCCCCCTCGTCACACGATCAGCGCTGTGCCACACGACCGGCGACGTGTCGCGCAGCCCACACGATCGACGATGTGCCGGAGCCCACCCACGGACACGAAAGCAAAGTAAACAGATGAGATGAATGAAGCGAAATAAAAGAAGCCCGCTCCATTCCGTTCCCGTAAAATGAAAAAGGAACGTAGACGGAAAGCGAGAAAGAATTCGAAGGCAAGAAAAGATAGCGAATGAAATGAATCCGAGCGCCAGCCTACCTGAGTCTGCGTCCGATGCAGGGGGGCTCTTGAAGCTCGGTGTGGGGCTCTTGATGGACGCCGGGGGGCTCTTTGTCGTCGGGGCTGCAGCACGATAAGTAGGAAGCCAGGAAGACGAAATAAAATATACACACCCTCCTCCTCACTCGTGCGACGTTTCGCCACGGGGGGCTTTGTGCCAAAGACGGGCGGGGACATCCCGACGCGGGCGCCGCCCAGGCGGGCCATGCGCGCGGCGATGGCTGCACGGCGGCGGCGCTCCTCCTCCTCCGGGTCTGGCTCGCCCTGTTCCTCGAGGTCTTGTCCCTCCTCCTTCTGTTCCTTCTGCTCCTCCTTGTGCGCCTCCTCACCCTCCTCCTCGCCCTCCTCCCTCACCGTGCGCACAGGCGGCGGTGTAACGACAGCCACCTCCTCCTCAGGCGGCTGCTCGACCTTGGGCGGGGGGACCCACTTCCTCCCTGTCGGCACCACGGGGGGCGGCGCGGGCCCTGGCGCGCCGCCAAACGCCCCGCGGCCCTGCAAAGCGGCCATGCGGTCCTTCAGGCTCCCACCGCGCCCGATGCTCTCCTTGGCGTCGCTCGCCGACAGGCCTGCACTACCTCCACTGCTAGCAGCACCGGCGTCGACAGCAATATTGGGGTTCACGGGCGAGACGGGCGAACGCGGGCGCGGCTTCCACGAGACGGCGCCGCCGGGCTTGGGGCGCACGGGCGGGGGGACACCACCGCCAGAACTGGAAGAGGAAGAGTCGGACTTGGGCTTCTCGAATGCGGCGATGCGGTCGCGCAGCGACCCGGGCTTTGGCTTTGGCGCAGGGGGCGCCGGCGGGTCCGACATTATTGTGTTTGAGACGTCCTTTGAGGGAGACTGCGGTGGTTGCGGGCAGGACGCGTGTTGTTGCGATGCGCTCAGAGTTCCCACGGTAGACGTGATCGGCCGCCTATTTTGGGATATTGTGACAAATTAATATTGTGGTTCAAGTTGTTTATAGCAGGCTTTGTACTCTGTGACGCGTGTGACGGCGATTATAAATTATAAGTTGGCAGTCCGCATCTTTTTCTAAGTAAAGGAGAGAACAAAAAAAAAATTCGACGAATCCCATCCACGCATCGGCCGGGAATCGAACCCGAGTCCCTCCCTGTATGCTCGCGATATACTCACAGTAAAGAGGCGTGCACCGTGCACCACCGATGCGTATTTCACTTCCTTCTAAGCTCCACATTTTTGGTTGGATTTTTCAGCAACAAAAGCAATGAAAGATTATGCATTAGCGGGGAGTCGAACCCCGTCTTCCTCCTTTCAACCTTTGCTGAATGAGCAGTGTAAGGAGGTGTGCACTATACACCACCGATGCTTCAATTCCATACCTTACAACCTGAATAAGGCCTCAAACTCTTGGTTGAATCTCGTTTACAAAAAGAAACATCAGAATCTCCATGCACCGGCGGGGAGTCGATCCCCGTTCGCCTCCGTTCAAAGTACTTTCACGCCGGATCATTTTCAGGAGGTGTGCACCATGCACCACCGATGCGTATTTCCCTTCCTTATAAGCTGATAACCATCCATCCAGACTTTTGGTTGGATTTTTCAACAATAACAAAAAAGGAGAGCAAATTGGAAGCTCTATGCATCGGCAGGGAGTCGAACCCCGTCCTCCTCCTGTCAGATTTGGGACGACGAAGCAGTGTAAGGAGGTGTGCACCATACACCACCGATGCTTTAATTTCATACCTTACAACCTGAATAAGGTCTCAAACTCTTGGTTGAATTTCGTTTACAAAAAAGAAATATGTAGAGTGCCAATGCATGCACCGGCGGGGAGCCGATCCCCCTTCGCCTCCGTTCAAAGTTATTTCACGTCGGATCATTTTCAGGAGGTGTGCACCATGCACCACCGATGCGTATTTCTCTTCCTTCTAAGCTGATAACCATCCAGACTTTTGGTTGGATTTTCAACAACAACAAAAAAAGGAGAGTCGAACCCCGTCCTCCTCCCTTCAACCAACGGGTCGAGCCAGTGTAAGAAAGTGTGCACCATACACCACCGATGCTTTAATTCCATACCTTACAGCCTGAATAAGGTCTCAAACTCTTGGTTGTTTATAAAAAAGAAATATCCAGAATCTCCATCATGGTACCGGCGGGGAGTCGATCCCCCTTCGCCTCCGTTCAAAGTTATTCCAAGTCGGATCATTTTCAGGAGGTGTGCACCATGCACCACCGATGCGTATTTCTCTTCCTTCTAGCCTCACTGGCATCAGGACCAGTCCTGTCTCATTTAATTTAAGCTCAAAAAGGCTCAAGAGTCTCAGAAACACATCCACCGGCAGGGAATAGAACCCCGTGCTCCTCCTTCGGTGACAGCAGCCCATTAGGAAGGGAGATGTGCACCATGCACCACCGATGCGTATTTCTCTTCCTTCTAATCTGAATATGCTATGGTTGAATACTGCACAGTACCATTCCGGGGTGATCGAACCCTCATCTACATAATTCTATTCCCATTTATGTCTGCGGGCGGGAAGTATAGACCATGCGCCACTAAGTAGATACCGAAAGGTTTCTGGGTGTATTTCAGTCCAAAAAGAAAGCGGAAGCATTAGGAGACCAATAATGCAATCGGTGGGGAACCGAACCACATTCTCCTCCATCATTTCTTTAATTTTTACTTTATGTGTAGAAAAGGGAGGCGTGTGCCATGCACCGCCGATGCTTAGCTTTGTGCGGAAGCTGACTGCGAGATTATATCTGCATTATTTCGTGAGTGAGAACTGAACAAAAAAAAATGAAAATGGGACGTCCACATCCACGCATCGGCCAGGAATCGAACCCGCATCCCTCCCTGTATGTACTTCAATTCCTATTTACAGTAAAGAGGTGTGCACCATGCACTACCGGTGCTCCTTCCCTTCCTTCTAACTTCGCCAAGATCCCCACTTTGTCGTTGAATTTGGCTACAGTTGACAAAATAAAATAAAACGCAATGAAACCACGGAGGCATCGGCAGGGAGTCGAACCCCGTTCTCTTCGTTCAACTTTCTGTTATTGAAGTTTCCCCCGAATTTAAAGGAAGTGTGCGCCGTACACCACCGATGCTTCAGTTCCATAGTTGCTAACCAGAATAAATTGCCAACTTTTTTATAGACAAAACAGTAAATGGTTCGGGGGGTATACTACATATACTCCGCCGTAATTGTATTACCATTCCTGCTTTCCGGTAAGAGGTGTGGACCATGCACCAGTGATTTTTCTCCCAACCTTAAGCAGAGACGAACAATTCCGGGGTGTTTCAGTCCAAAAAAAAAAAAAAAGCTAGAGAAGCCCCCCATGCATTGGCGGGGAGTCGAACCCCGGCTGGCTCCTTACGTTTCTGTGCGGATTAATTCAAAGGAGCCGTGCACCATACACCACCAATGCTTTATTTCCTTCCCTCTAATCTGAATAAGTTGACTTTTTATGGTTGATTTTAGTTACAAGATGATGGATATCGATGGAGGGTCAAGCATACATCGCGAACCCCGTTCTCCTCCCTCATTCAACGAGAAATTTCTTGATAAGGTAAGGGAGGCGTGCACCGTGCATCACCGATGCGTATGTCTCTTCCTTCCAAGCTGATAACCATCCAGACTTTTGGTTGGATTTTTCAACAACAACAAAAAAGGAGAGCAAGAAGTAGCTATGCATCGGCGGGGAGTCGAACCCCGTCCTCCTTTCAACTGACTCGTCGGGCCAATGGAAGGAGGTGTGCACCATACACCACCGATGCTTTAATTCCCTTCTTCTCAACTGAATTAGTTGCCAATTTGTGTTCGTTTACAATCCTCCTCTTTCACTTAACTGGGGGTATCTCATAGTAAAAAGGCACGCACCATACACCACCAATGCTTCATTCCCTTCCTTCTAACTTCGCTAATGTCCCAACTTTTGGTCAAATTTCGTTTAAAAAAAAGACGGCAGTTGGGATGAAAGCATCGGTGGGGAATCGAACCCCGTCCTCTTTACAGTGGGGTGCGATAGGTCAGGAAGGTTTGCACCATGCGCCACCGATGCTTTAATTCCTTCCTTTTAAACTGATAAACCTCCCCACTTATTTGTTGAGTTTCACGAAAGATGCTCTTGCTCTTCATGCCCCGAGGAATAGAACACCCCCAAGCGAGTTTCATGCGACACCTCAATGCGGTTGAGGGATCCCTAATTTTGGCTCCCGGCTCCCACTATCCCACTAATTCGAATCCATCCCTACGTAATTCCATTTCCATTGCAAGTCCTCGACATGAGCAGCATTGATTTTGGGACTCGACTTGAGCTGAGTTTTCGGTTACGAGTCAACAAAAAATGCGGTTGGTGGGGAACATGTAGGTGCGATCATTATGTGTATGTAGCAAAAGCAAATATTCCCCCTGAAGAAGACCTATGCATCGGCCGGGAATCAAACTTGTACTATCCCTCCCTGTAAGTACTTCCTTGCACACAGTAAAGAGGTGTGCCCTGTGCACCACCGATGCTTTACATACCGCCAGCACCTACTTCGTGTTGCTGAAGCGGACGCGCCGAGGCGCCGCCATGTATCTAGTCTCGCAATACTCCCCTTCCCAGTTCACCTTGGTTTCCCTGGTCTATGGTCTCCCCTCGAAGCTCCGACTTGGAATCGTCACTGGTATCGAAAAATATCCCTGGGGCTCTTGCCGTAGCGCTAGACACGCTATCCTGTCTCCAGTCCTGGGTTTCACCCCATTTTTCATAACCCTAGGTTATTCTCCAAAAAATTCTGACTCTGAATTCGCGACTGCGTCTTGGCCCCAGCGACGGGTGGTATTGATCAGGGTCTGCGTAGCGGGCTGGTTCTGTGCGGCGAACTCGCTATACAACGGAAATGTGGTGTTCCTGATCTGGGCGATATTGGGGAAGGGATTCTTGTTAAGGGTGGGGTTATGGGGGGCAAAATAGCTGTCTGAGGGAGGGCTACAATTTCCAAATAGGGTACATCGAAATTTTACGTTTAACCCCAACTACGCAGCCGCGAATTCAGAGTCAGAATTCTTTGGAGAATAACCTAGTATTAGACCCCGCAGTCAATATCGGATGTCTGCAGAGCAGGTTCATTTCAGATTTACCTCGATTAACTCATGGCTGTCGGCGGTTTCCCTCTGTTCTGTCACTTCCTCGCCCCTTGGTTTTGACTTTCCTTGGTGTCGGTCTGTTTTGCGCCCCATCCTTCACCTGTTTCACTATCCGGTTGTCCTGGTATCTTGAGACCCCCTCTGTAGGTCGTGTTCTTGAGCTACTCCGCACGTAGCAGGGTCATTTGTTTTGGATTCCTTGCTCGTTTCAGCGTCTGCCAATTGCTATGAAAGAAATTGGTCTTCTTTAGGTGCTTCTTGGTTTTTTGTACTCATTTCGAAACTCTTAATTCCTTGTGCTTCTGGGCAGTTGGAATCTAGGTCGTCTCTCTGTTGCGTTCTGCCTCATCTCTCGGGATTCGCTGCGGATTTCGTTACAGAGTGGCCTTAGGTCTCACAGGATCTTGTTCTTCAGAGCTGCGGCATTTGATGTCCAGAAAATCGACCGTATTACATCCACTCCGTCTTTCGCCTTCTTTGTCCAGCACCAGTCCAGCGAGGCTACAATGATTTCTGCGAGCTCCAGTGACAGGGCTTGGCTTTGGTCTCCTCAATTTCTGGCTACAGCAACACCAATAAGTCTGCACACAAAGTCCTTGTGGCGTAACTAGACATTCCTTCAACCGGTCTCCGAGGCCCTTCTGCAAACCTTTATCTGTGCGTTAAATGCGAGGTGCGCCGTTAGCAATTTGCTCTATTCCAAGATGCACCTCTCCCTGAATCTCTCTCAGTATATCCAGGCTCAGCCCATTTGATAAATAGAGGAAGTTAGGGAACTGAACCAGTCGGTAAGGATTATATATTTACTTAAGCTTTCACAAATCTCAGTTCCAATGTCCACCACCCTTTTCAATTTCACTCCAACGACTTGGACGCCAACTTCTCACTCGAACTTCCGAAGGTATCCAAGTTGAGGGGTTTCCCGTAATCCGGTAAGGGAGAGCTTCCAGCGCATCTGACGCATACTCGCTAACGAGATCTTATACAGTTTCGTCTCATTCTCATTCACAAACCGCGTATCTCACTGTATTTCGGTGCTTCAGCGGTACTAGAGTTCGATCTGCCAACCTTGGGCTGTTGAACGGTTATTCTACTCATAGCCAACAGAACAAACATATTTAATTATTAAATACTGAATTACGAAATTCCAATCACTGAGAATGAGGTCCCGTAAGAAACACGACGGTGGAAACAACGTCAAGAACGTACTTCAGCAATCTTCGACCACCTTGTGAACGTGCTATTCTCATCAGATTTCTCTGTGGGTGGAGTGCAGGTGGATAAGTTTGGCTCGTCAGAGGCTGGTTCCTCCCCCACCAAACTATGAGTTTCCCCCGGCTCATCATCGATGTTGATAACCGAATGCTGCTCATTTTTCTCAGAATATGAATCCTCGTCATCCACTTGTATTCGTTAGTTGAAGCAGAACGACTCATGGATGGTGTGACTTACCGTAGGCAAACGGAACATCTGTTCCGGGTGATAATTGATAGAGAGATTCCCCGAGATACCGTGCGACCTCCTGGCTGTCCGGATTGAAACCCTTTGCCTGGTGGAACTGACGGAGTCCAGCGTAAACACTCTTGTCCCATGAATACCCGCAGACTTCTGTAATCAGCACAATGGAAGGGAAACCAAGTTGTGTTGCATCCTTCGTGCTTAGACGTTCGGCACCCTGGGGATCGAGGGACCAATAGGCCGGAAAGTCTGGCCAGCATAATGATGACGACCCCGTTTGAAAATCTGTTGGTGGGCAGAGAAATAAGAAGCCTTCAGGTAGCCTCTTTGTGATGTCCGGAGGTCCAATTTCAACTTTGAAAGATACACCTGCGACATACACTGTTTGAAGAAATTAAGCGATATATTTGAGATAAGATGACGGCATACTATAATCCTCGAAATTGGACTTGATCTGGAGATTACTGAAAATGTGATTGGCGTTACTGGGCCAGGACCGGTACATGGAGAAGCGTCCTTGAAAGTATAGTTCAATTATCTTCCCAGCACCGCCGAAGTTGTAACTTGGTCAAGAACGTCAGCACAGAATATCGACGTCGAAAAATGATATACTGGGTCCAGCCATCAGTGACAGGCTCAGAGTCGTCATTCACGGATGCGATTTCCACCAGTTCTCCAGATTGATTTGACGAGGAATAGGAAATTATTGCTCCAAGATTTACTGTTGCCACGCCAGAACTTAACGTGCGTCGAAGCCTTACTAGATCCCAAAAGCATATGTCGTGATACTCTTCCATTGTGAGATAATCTATTGCCGCGGCCTCTGGGTTTGGTGCATCCAATGTTTTGATTCCCAGGGAATGGGAACAGGGTATTTCAACTGGGGCTTCGATGAGCAGCCAGGATTTCGGAACGGGACCGGATGGTACGAGGTCGGCGCATAGTCGGCCAGTTGAGCGACGTATCCAAGGGGTGCAATTCTAGAAACACTCACATCAGAAAATCGGGATTGAAGCTACTGAGCTCACGAGTGACCGTTGAAAAACAGATGAAAAATAAATGCTGGCTGCCTGCGAGAGTGTCAGCGGGCTGACCGACAGAATTGAGCATCATACTTTGAACTCCGTGTGCTTTACTCAAATCAATATCCAGAGATAAGGAATTAACGGGTGCACATACGTAGTAGCGATGGATATACACGGTGAGGATCGATGAATGGCGGTATGTGTCAACGAATTGTTCGAACGGTATCAGATCTGTTGAGCGTCAAGCTGTGAGATGTATTTACACGTAGGACTTGCCACCGAGGAAAAGCGTAGCATAAATATTTCCAGAACTCGCTGCTCCCCAAATCTGGAAAATATTCGGATGGCTAATGATATAATTCAACCATCTGGCATGTGGCGACAGTCTTGTGGTACTCACCGAACCGACTTGTATCTCGCCATATCTATCTGCCACTCCTATAAATATCATTCAGACGTGACTTCTGGAATGCGGGATGTAACACACGTCTTCTGCGCCGTGCCCCTGATACGTCGCGACAGTCATGGTCGACTCTCGACCTTCAACTCTGGCGGAGTATACGCGACGAACGCGCAGCCTTTCGCGGCTACGATCGACAACGCCCGTGTTCTTATCCAATCGTATCTCGTATTGTAGGTCTATATCTCCCAGCGGGATCATCCTGAAGTCTACCCAGCTGGCAGTCAGGCCCCTGGCCTGCGACACAGAAACAAACTCACCGGAACACACAGCCGGAGGTGCGATGTAGTGATTTGTGACGCTCGAGAAGGTACCACCGGTCACAGTGAAATGCTGCGAACCGGAAAAGATGGCACCGCCATTACTAGATAAAGACACCGCCGATGAGACTTGATCCGATCCACTCATTGGATAGCAACGAAAGCAGCTCACGAGGTGGCTTCGCGATTAGCAGTGGTCGAGTTTGACATGAAACCCGTATGTGCAGACGTTTTGCGGTCCTTGATAGAAGGCACTAGAGTGAAGATCAAGGTAGGATACAAGTCTGGTGGCTGTGTGGACCGCCAAAGTGATCGGCGTTCAAATTAATCGGCCTTCGGCGCGGGTTCCTGCGCAGCTCTAGACTCGGATCCAGCCCTATTGAGGAACAAGACAGCGGAGTCTTAATTGAAGATTGATTCCCCCCCCCCCCCCCCCCCAAAAA